TGAACTATAGCCTTTCATTTAAAAAACCTTCCAGCCCCCAATTTAGTTCTTTCTTTTTGGTATCCAGCAAAGAGTTTTATTTTATTTTTCCTGGTCATTTACTTAATTAGAATGAAGATGACCATGTTAGGTTTGATGCAATTTTTTACTCTATTTTACACCTTACTGTTACAATGTCATTGTCATTGTATGACAGTTTTAATTCTGAAATGGGAAGGATCTAGCTGGTAGAAATGTGGCACAGAAAAAGAAACATGTCTGGATCTTTCCTGTAAACACTGCATTATTTTCATAGATGTGATCTGCAATTCCAGAAAACCAGCTGTGTTAAATCAGTTGTGTCAACAGACTTTCCCCTGCTACAGTCTGGCGTGACAACCAACCATCTTAACTCACATAGCCTCAAATCAGTATTAGTCCACTCTTGCTTATACTGCAGTTTAAAACTGGAAATATAATCTCCATGTTTTGACATGTGCCTGTTTCAGAGTGTGAGATTTTATGCTAAGTATATAAGGAAGGCTATAATTTGGAAGCAAATTCATCACCCTACAGCACCTGTTTCTGAATACTGTGCTGGTGAATATGTTGTCTGCGTATCTCTGTCGGGCAGCATTACCGCCAAAGCCCAAAAAAGTTGCCACGTAGACTCGGTACACATGTTCATTCTGGTGAGCGTCACATCCCAAGTTAAACTCTGCCAGTAGGTTCTTGGCCACCTCCTCCTGTGAGACACCAAACAGAGATTAAGAGACAGAGTTCTGCTCTGTGTTTTCATTCCCCAGTTTTTGATTACTCAAGAATACTTTCAGCTCTGTGCTTTTCAAAACCTTTGCACGAGACTGTTCTCTACAACAGTTCTTTACAGTAAACACCTGAGCAGTAATCCAAGGATGGGACAAGGATGACCATCCGGATGTGGTCAGGTACAACTTCCAACAGCTCCAGCCATCACAGCTAATACAAAGGGATGCAAAGCAGCATCTGGAAAGACATTGGTTCCCTGGCCCTGCACAATGGAAGCAACACCAATGGCCAAGTATTTGCCAACTACAGGGACAGCTATGCATATGCCTATATACTGGCCAATCTTACTTCTTTCTTTCCTCTCCAATCATTATTATTAATAATTCATATCCTGCTTTTTAGAATACAGTTGCCCTTCTAAGGCAGGGTTTTCCAATTTTTTTTGGTGCCTTCAAGTCCGTTTTGACTCCTAGTGACTGGCTGTACTAGTCCTACAGTTTTCTTGGCAAGATTTTTCAGAAGTGGTTTGCCATTGCCTGCTTCCTAGGGCTGAAAAAGAGTGACTGGCCCAAGGACACCCACCTGGCGTCATGACTAAGGTGGACTAGAACTCACAGTCTCCCAGTTTCTAGCCTGATGTCTTAACCACTAGACCAAACTGGCTCTCTGCACCAAATAGCACGATGCTAATAAAACATAAGGTTATAGAACTATCCAATTAAAAACCAAAAGCACTTTAAACACATGTCCTTTCACAAGTTGACTTAAATGAGCTGCCTAATTTGTGGCAAGAATATGAAACTAGTATTTAAAGAAACGTTACAGAAATCAATTGAATTATTCTTGGTGCACTTATCCTGGTACCAAGACAAACTTTATTTTTGATCCCAAAGATAGAAACTGAAAAAGCAGATGCTTCACAGATTCAAGCCATAGATTCTGATAAAATCTTAAAAGCTAACAGTATTTAATATTCAAAATCTGTGTATTTCTCCTGCCCTCTCCCCCCAGATCAGGTATGTTCTACAGATATGTAACCCTAAAGCCCTATGATACTTAACCATGATTTTGTTTCTGAACACTGGTTAGAAGTGTTTGAATACATAAACCATAGTTAAGGACTGACTCCAATGTTTATAGTGGTTAAATGTTTGACAGATCATGTACAGAACATGTCTTCTGAGAGCAGGACTTTTCTGAGTACTTGTATACAGGTTCTCCTCTATATCTGAGATTTTAGCCAGAGTTAAAGAAACACACCATGCTTACTGCTATTTACAATAAAGCATCATGTCTTCACTCAATTTCAAAACCCCCACAGTGGTGCAGAAGACACAAGTAATATAGAAGAGGAAACCTGGAAAAATAACAGGTTAGAAACATCTGCTGTACTGAAAATGAAAATTCTGGAACTTTTTTTTCTTTTTGAAAAGGCTACTCAGAACAGCAAAAAATAAATATATGTGATCTCCCACACTGTACTGAACTTTGGGCTATTTGACCATGATTCATTCAGTAAGCTATGATGGTTGGAGTCACACATCCAACTAAGCCTACACCACACAAATCATGTTATTGCTAAGCATGATGAGTGAATCCAACCTTTCTTTTTCATCTCAAAAGGATGATTTGGTTCATCGCTGTAGGTCAAAACAGGAGGATTTTCCTTGTATTTGGTGCTATACAGGCAGAGCAAATAAATTTCTATTAGTATATTCCTAACTAGGTTTACATTTAGAACAATAATTTTAAGAAGTCATTCCATGATATGTCAACCATTAAAAAAATGCATCAAATAGTAACCACAAGCTATGTTAACAGTGCATAATTTTAAATCTATTACGAACAGCATAAAAATGTATAATTTAAACAATGAAATGCAGCCACGTAAGTTCTGCATCATAAACATTTCTATTAAACTGACTGGTGAAATGAAAAGTACGTGTATGGATCGCTTAGCTGACGGGACACAGAAGTTCAACTTCTTCTCTTCATGTGGGATGAACTGGTCATGCAATGATGCACAGGACTCATACAGAGCAAAAGAAAATGAACCAATGGATATGGGTTAAAATGCAGGAAAATAAAAAAGGAAAGTTGTACAGATAATAACCTGCTGTGAAGAGGCAAAGCTTACAGTTTTAGGGACTTCATATGCTATCTGAGTTGAAACACCACCCATGTCAAGTATACCCACGGTCCTCTTTCGAATGACTTCTTCTTTGCTTTCGCTGTCAGGAACATGCACTTCTACTATTGCATCATCCTCTGAAAGACAAGAAGGGGAGATGTACTGTTGAAAAAGGGGTATGATTTTAATTTTCGTATCATTGCAACTGTGTTGATTTTATTTTTAATTTTGTTCGCTGCCTAGAGTCACTTGTTGAGATGTGTGGCCATACAAATTGAACAAACAAACTCTTCTCAGTATCTAAACTCTTGTGAGGCATAGCATCTTACAAGGAAGCAATAGGATCCCTGCAATGTCAGGCTAATATTCAGAGGCTAGAATGAATATAACTTGCCCAAGGCGAGCCTTTTCTGGTATAGCAAGCCTTAAAGGTTTGTGATGGGGGGGACATTGCAAGTAGACTTTCTCTCTGAGCAAGGCATGATAAAGTGCTGTCAAAATAAAAGGAAAGCTAAATTTTAGTGAGAGAAATTAAGATCAGAGATTTGTTTATGTTAATTGCATTAACATTTTAAATAATTATTAATCATATTCTTAATCACATTAAGAAAAACCCTTTCCGAGTGTTACATTGGCATTATAAAGAAATGCCAATTTAGATAACCTCAAAAGAATAACAGTGCTAGAAAAGTTACAGAAAAAGCAACTAAATTGAATAAAAAGCAATCAGAGCAATCCAAAATCCCTAAGAGGTCATACCTCTTTTGGGAACAAACAAAATGATATAAAAGAGAATGCAAAATTTTGAGTTCCCAGAACTCTTCTTCTGACATTATGGCTGTTTCAGACTGATTTGGAATTGATTTGAGAGACAGTCACTAAGAGAATGAAACATTTTCCCTACAGGACAGCATATTCTTGATCTGGTATAAGTGGGGTGGTGGTGATGGTGGTTAAAAAGGTAACTAAGGAAATACTGTGTAATTCATAAAACATGAACTGTACAAAGGTAATGCTAAGTTTGCACAAAATATTAAAGTTTGATGCTAAGTCCAGGTACAGAAAGGAACTTCCCCTCCTCTATTATCAAGAGGAAAAATAAGCCAGAATTCAATTTCTTTTTAGTAGATTCCTGGCTTGTATACTAGGAATAGTTTAAAATAAATTATACCATGTAAACAAGCTAGCCAAAGAAACCATGGATTATTGTTGCTCTGTCTAGCAGTTGATTGGAATTTCCTTTAAAATGCTGTTCCTGAATTGGATATATCAGGACAATAAGCTGCTAAAGCAAAATTGAATTCTGACTTAGTTTTATGGCTAGTTGTACAGCAGGAAATGAAAGGACCATGAACAAATATTTGTTCACCTTAATGTTACATGATTTAAGCCATGATTTTAAAAAAATACACCAAAATGAACAATATTTAATTTCTTATACTTGAAAGAACAGAAAAGGATCATCTAGTGAATATAATTGATAAGGTTCATGACAAAGCAAAGTCCTTTTTTGCCCAATTAACTTCATTTCTACACAATCCTAGTAAAGACATTAGATTTCCCTAAAGGGGATACATGAATATCAAGATCTAGAATTGAGGTTGGACTTCTGGTCCAATCCAGAAAAGCAATTTTGTAATATTTCATATTAAGAAAAAAATAGCCCTTAAGCGCCTTCTTACAACCTCTGTACTGAAGATATAAAACACTGTTTTTCAAAATCCATTTTGTGCAGCATAGCATGTTGTGCAAATCCAGCCTCCATGTCCTTACTGAATTCTTGATTTCTGTTCTCTAATGGAGGCCTAAATACAGATTTGAAGAGCCTTTATGGACACAATTTACCAAGTAGTGCTGCTGAACAATTTCCATTTATATGAATAAAGCCAATGCAGGATGGAAATTGTGCATTAACAACATCAGGTGGATTTCTGGTAGTTCTATATACTTTAGCAATTCTTGGAATTAATTAGTGTTAAGGTCCTTACCTTCATCCAAATGTTCAAATCTTCCAAGGACAAAGTTGATGCCAATCCATGCATATACTCCTAAATAAAATTTAGGAGTACCTTTGTAAATATTTTAATATCACTAGGCGATATTTTAAAAAATAACACCTTAACAAAACCAAAACAGTAGCAGAACAGAGATATATCAAATATATTCAAAAAATTCAAACTATGCTTTCTTGAGAACTCAAACATCTATGCATGTGAAGATGCCCTAGCATCCTATAAATGCTGAAGAAGGCAATGCTTCTTCGCTCATCCCTTATGTCTCAAAACCTAATCAAACTGGTTCCTGGTGGTCACACACATAGTGCAAATATGTACAGGGACGATCAAAGTCTTTGCATGTTGAACTTTATCAGTGAATGTTACCATAATCCTGCATAAGCGGGGTTCCAGATCATGTGAAAACCTTTGCACATAATAGTTACATGTGTGAAGGCTCCTTCCCTGCAGATGTTTGTCGTGTATCCCATGTGCCCTTAAATGTCAGGGCAGTTAATAGTGTCTGCTTCTCTTGTACATTTTGATAAAATATACACACAGGTTCAGGCTGGTGCATAAGGCTGAATATAGGCTGTAACAGGCTGCACGGGGCATCTTAATGTAGACATGTTGGCACCATATTCTTGGTTGGACTGGGCAGTTTCACTCTGGCCACAAAAATGAATCAGTGATCAGAAAATACCTGCCTCTCCTAAATTATTCCTGATCTTGCAAAAACTAAAAAGAAGAGCCAGCACTTCCAGGCGCTGCCACCAGGATAAAGCCTTTTGGTTAGGAGCTGTTCATAACCAATAAGAGCAGCTAGAGGGAGTTAGATGAAAGGGTGAAGGTGAAAGTGCAAAGGGGGGGATGAAACACAAGAACCATTAGAAGACCCAGAGAAACAGAGAGATAAAAAAAGATAAAAGAATCAAGAAACAAATGACTGGCTGGGTGCACATGTTTAAGAATGGTCAGATAAGCAGGGGAGGAAATCATGGGGGAAACAAAATTAAGGGGGTTAGAAATAAAAAGAATATAGAAAAGTTGCAGTAAGCAAGTATATACCATGTAATATATTATTTTTAAGAACAGTTTTCGGTAGCTATGTGAGTGGTTATTCTAAGACTTTTAAAAGTGCACTATTCAAGCTCCTATATGTGCCTTCTTCCACAGAGAAGACGTTTGCATTTTCCTCCCCAACAGAGGTATTCTAATTAACCACTATCCACAGACTCTTTCATCCTAATTCCGATCCACCCACCTCCTTTATGTAAAATTCATTCTGCTTTAAAAAAATCAAAAACGCAAGTAGACAAAATCATTGTAGTATGCCTGGAAATAGCCACTAAACATCTTAAATTCCAGCCACAGAAAATATTGCCAAAGACCTTCGTCTCATGGGGTCCTGCCCTGAATGCAGGACAATACCAATTTCAGGTTTTGCAAGAAACAGCATCTACTTATGTGTGGACTCCCAGAATTCTTAGTAACAGCCATGCTAGCACACAGCGTTTATATGCAACTCCAAACACTTGCATACAGAATATGGTGTATGAATGCAGCCACAGAGATCTCTTGTTCAGGTGTTGGAGCAAACTGGTTGCAGGCAGAGATGCAAAAGGGCAAAGTTAAATTCACAAAGTTTAAATTCACAGGTACTCCCAATAGTGAAGCCTCTTTGCTCCAGTTTTTCTGGACATCGGTTATCACTTTTTCCCTGGACACATTTTCCATCAGTCTCCTGACTAAAGTTCCAAGCTATCTTTCTCAGCATGTATTCTTACCTTCCTGCTTTCCTGAAATAACTTCAGCGTGAGAATCCGAAAACAGAAAATCAAAATGCACTGGGATATCAGTAAGAAGATCTTCTAGTATTGCCTTTTGCTGACTGCAAGATTTCAAAGGGTTTAAATTAAGATCTATTTTTGTGTGCAAATCTTTCTATTAAACATGAACGGAAAATAAGATATTCAAGTTACCTCTCTGGCAGGATCCTCATCCCTGCGGTACAGAGAATATACAGAGGGGTTTCTTTGTGTTTTGCACGGGGTATGTGTTCAGCAGCAAAGCTCAGAAGTGGAAAAATATAGTCACTAACTTTTTCAGGAGAGGTAGCAAATTCTGAAATGCCTGGAGAGTAACAGAGGTAAATATGTTCAGCTATACATCAATATGAGAAAGTAGAACAAACTTTTTTTTATAAAGAGAGTATTTTCTCTCTTAACATCTAAGATGGGAATTCAGTCAAAAGCAAAATACTGAAACTTTTAAAAAGCCATGCCTTTCTAAAATACAGCATAGCCCTACCGATGCAGGATGTTATCTTAAAGTTACATACCGTACAGTAATTTCAGTTACTTTAAATGAGATATTGTGAAAAATTGTCCTGAACAAACCCTGGCCTTTAATGTTAGCATACAAGTATTAACAATAAATAAATAAAACGGAAACTTGTTTGTATCTTGGGGCCGTTTTCAAGCATTGTTAAGAATCTTAAGGAATAAATGAAAACCAGGGAGACAACTTCCAAGGAAATATAAGAAGACGTAAGTTGTGCAAATCCCAAATAAAAAGGCAGAAGTGCACTATTTTACAAGAATCTGCTGCATTTTAAGAAACAAATATTTCCAACCTTCAGTGTGACAGAGTTTCATGATAGGCAGACAAGCAGCTAAGGAATAAGTACAGGAAGTCCTCGACTTATGACCATTTGTTTAACGACCGTTTGAAGTTATGATGGTGCTGAAAAAAATGACTTATGACTGGTCCTGTCGCAGCATACCTGGAGTCATGTGATCAAAATTCGGGCGCTTAGCAAGTGACATGTATTTACAAAGGTTGCAGTGTCCTGGGGTCACATGATCACCATTTGTGACCTTCCCAGGGGGCTTCTAAAGCAAAATCAAAGGGGGAAGCCGGATTCACTTAAAAATCGCAGCAAAAACAGTCGTAAAATTGAGTGTGACTCACTTAATGACCGCATCGCTTAGCAATGGAAGTTCAGGTCCCACTGTGGTTGTAAGTCGAGGACTACCTGTATGACTTTCCCCCAATACCTGGCTTAATTTTCATAACTACTGGTTTTCTGTTTTTGTCCCGCATTTGTTTGATGTCAAGTAAATCATGGGGATTGCCGTTGTGCCTTGGCCACCAATACACAAAGATCCGAGATCCACTGCTACCGCAATCCACCATAATGCCATAATTCAACTTTGGGTTGTTTGTATCTGTGGCTTCGGTGTCTGTTACTCGTGCAAGATATCTGGAAGAGAAAAAGAAGAATTGCTCAGGAGCAAGTCCCACTGAACCCAGTAAAACTACAGAGTAAGCAAGGATAGGACAAAGCCTTAATGTCAATCACACTGAATTTTAGAGCTGCAGAAACACATTTGTAAGAGCAATATTGTCAAATTGCACATGTTTGATTCAGAGATTCAACTCTTCAGCTATGATTTTCACTGAGTGACACTGAACTAGCCACAAAGGCTCAGCCCAGCCTACTTTACAAGCTTGTTATTGTACAGATAAAATGAAGGGAGATTTATGCCAATTTAAGTTTACACAGAAAAGGAGGGATATTACCACAATAAATAAGCTTAATGTAAGGTGACCTGTTTTGCTTTGTTAGGAATATAGCTCTGGACTTGTTTTTAGCCCAGCTGATAAAGATTACCTGTGCAGCTTTTTGTCCCGGGAGCTGTATTTTAAAACAGAATAGTATAATATGAAAAATGCAGCAGCAAGGAGCCCAGTGACAATAATCTGCCGTAATGTGGTGTTCAATATCCGCGGACAGCCAACAGGGGAAATGCTGAAGTGCCACGAAGCAGGAAAAAGGCAAGAGAAGCTGATCCTGGAATGAATAAAAACAAAACACCTTCATCTGAAATTCTGTGTTGACACCCCAAAGATACAACTGTTGGAAGCCAAATGTTCCGATATATCATTGTTCATTTAAAAATGAACACTTTTCAAAAAAAAGTTCACTTGGCAACTATTCAATCCAAGGGTTAGAAATCTTTCTTTACAGACATAGGTATGTTCTTATCTGACAATATTTATAGCTTGGCCTTTCCATAACAGATATGGATAGGTCCAAGTTGATGTATCAAGATAATGCTATAGGCACCAAGAAAATATATGAAAATCAAGGATCAACTATTCATTGATGGCTGAATAAATGAACAAGTGCAAGCTAATTTTGCAGATTCCCCTTTTTAAATATCTACATTCACTAAATTAAGGACACTATACTCTTATAATTAACAATGCAAGAACTTTGGGAAGAGAGGAATGACTGAGAAAGAAGTAGCCAGATGGGGAATTGTTGGGAGAGGCAAAAAGGATAACATGGAACATTCAGAAACATCTCTAATGTGGTCTTAAACATTTCAGCTGTTCCAGTGTGAACATCTGAAATACTGTTATTGGCGTTGCATGTTATCTAAAAGAGAACTATGAACCAAGAAGTGTGTTTTTAAAATATTGGCTGGGAGAACTAAAATGTCTAATAACTTGCACCATCATGTTTTATTGAAATAAAATTTATAAAATTAGCAAAAGTGATCTGGATGACACAACATGCTAAGTTATAAATCGTGGCTTATAAACTAGAATAACTGAGTCCACACATTAGATTAAGCTAAAGTCAAGCCAAGCTACACTAAGATCTATTTTTTCCACTTAACCCAAAAACAAATTCTAGCTGAAACAAACCATGACTTAGTGCAATACAAAGTTTCAACCTTCAGATCTGCAACATGGTGACCACTATACTGACTTAAGGATTAAGGGCTTTTTAAGGATTAACAAACTAATCAGGAAAGAGAGTGTTTGGCCAATCAAATATTTTTTTGTGTCTAAACTGATGTCCCTGATTAATTAGGCAGCAGATTTTGGTTCTTTTTAAAACAAAACTATTAAAACCAAGGATCTCAAAAAGGAAGAAGTATTCCTATATTAACCAGTTGATTAGCTACTTTTCATCTTCCATAACACAGTCAGTTATCTAGAATCCCATCCCTTTCTTAACAGTACTACCTTAGAACTTCACAGAACAAGGAGGCAGCAGAGGAGGTATATTAATTGTTGACCGCAGTATTTGCAGGAGTCGAGGGAGGTTAAGAATGTCTACACCTATCCTGAGACCATCATCCAAGATATGTCCCATCTCACTGCTCCAAGCCAATCAGGGATAGTCCAGAACCCAAGGAACAAAGCCATCAGCATTTCAAGAAAGATGACCAAGACTGGTGTCTATAGGCATATCTGGAAGTATGTCAGAGACTAAGTTCTGTTTTTGACAAAAAAGCATGCTCTGGATCTGGACCAAATGAGAAGCCCAAAAGGAACGGGGCAACAGTCATATTGATAAAAGCTACTGTTGCTGAGGAACAACTTTCTTGTTATGCTCATGCTGGCAGCTCTTCTACTGCCCTGAACTTTTCATCCTCAGCCACTCTCAGTAAAACAGGCTTTGTTGTACAGAAGGGGACTGGCAGAAGCAGGAAAGATATGCTCTGAAACAAGAGCTTAGCATACACAATTCAAGTTCATCATTCTTCCTTTTTTAAAGCTACTTTTGTATAGCTCACCTCCCAGCCATACAAACCATATTATAACAAAGAAATGTTGGTCTACCAAATTGCACAGGTTTCGGGAAAAGCAACTGGGGAAACACTGAATTTCTGGCCACTGAAACTTAAAAATCAAACACATTTTGACCACTATTTGAGCCCACCAAGTTTTGTTGCTTTTACTCATCCAACATTTGGATACTCACCTACCCATTTCTGGGACTATCTGATCAGGACAAGCAGGCCACAGGAAAAGCTAGGTTTTTATAGTCAGCCCAGATTCATAAGGCACAAGATTCATCCCCGGAACCAATGGAACAAGTAGGAACTGAAAATTAGATTAAATTATATTAATTAATTTAATTATATTAAAAAGGCAGCATTCTCACTCAGGATCAATAAATGATATGCTATGAAGCCAAATCAATTTATGTTAGCCAACATGTTTCTATTCCACCTTTCCTTCAGGAAGTTCAAGGTGGTATGCATGAAGTTATCCCTTTTTTTTCTCTCTGCCCCTAAGATGCAAGTTAGACTGAGATAATACCTAACCCAAGGTGTCTCTCATCTAATCTCCAATTACTTTATACACATTTAGCATGCAGCAGTCATTGTGTTTCTTCCTTCTATCTGAATAAGAAAGTGATGATCTGCTTTGGCTAAAGGCCACTGTGTACAGGTATGAAGCTTAATCTTTCTTGTAAAAATTTGTCCTCCGAATCCAGATACATGTGAGAATTTTAGAAACAAGCAAACAAACTAAAAAATCCTGGTACTATTGACACTCTTATATAACACTGGATGAGACAAAAAAGAAATGAGATTATCTGTGGCCATACTGTAATTTCCACTTGGCGACAATCTGGCATGAATTGAGATTTTTAGAATTCCCGGAATGAAACTTCAGTTGGTTTTAGAATGTTCTTTCAAACCTATGACAGAACATAAAAAAAGTTATGCAAGCTTACCTTTGAAACACAGTAACCTTTAGGCAGAATATAGCAACTATTTAATGCAAGCTGCATTCCTTAACAGTTCCATGGAAGAAACATCGGAAGAAGCCATACCATTTGGAAACTAAACAGAGATTATGGAACATAATTAAAATGGGATGTGATAAAAATTTTCTCAATAGAAGCTGCACATATCCCTGAAAAGCTGTTATTACATTAAAATGTTGAATACATTTAGTTATTCAAAATGTTTACATACTACCTTTCATGCCATGTATCTTTAGGTACTGTACAATACATACATACCTTTAAAAAAAATCTTTATGTCATTAAAAATTCAATGTACTGCATAAAACATTATGATTGAAATATATAAAAACCTACAAAATGTAAGCCAGTTACTATGAACAGTGCAGCAATACCATTAAGAGATGCCAAATGGCAGGTAATAGTATTTTCAGCATGTATCTGAACTATTGTAAGGTTGGCATCAATCAAAATATATTTACAGTCCAAGACCAAACACAATAAAAGACCAGCATACAATACAATAACTATAAAGGAAAAAAATTTTAAATTGCAAGAAAATCCTAAAGCATTTAGCAGCTAACAGTTAACAGCATGGAGGAGGAACCAGTTTCTAACAGCTATAGTCATTGATACAAATTTTGTAACCTTCTTAGAGGTTTCTGAAGAGTGGTCACCCAGGAGAAGGGTAACAGTTTCCTGGTCACAATTAATAATTAATTAATTAGAATTATTAACAATTGGGAGTATTAAACTTGATCGCAATTGGGTGCACGATGGACATTTTAACAGCTCACGCGTGACAGATCCTACCTCTGAGTCTGAACAGAAACAAATTTGGTTTTCATATGGGACGCATATATATGTACTGGTTGTTGCCCTAATAGGTAGTGCCCAATTTGGGCCAAAGTAAATAGCCTCTTATGTGGAAAAGGTTGGCACATGCTTTAAATGTTTCCCAGAGCGGTTGTCACAACAGAAAAGCTGTACAGCAACTGAATGTCCACAAGATACTCTCCAAATTGTGAAGGAACAATTTGGAGAGCCTTCACAGATAACTGGAGCTGTTAGGTAGGTTTATAAGGCAAACACATTCTCTCAGGTATTCTGTACTCAGTTTTTCAAATCCAGGTGGATTAACCCCTTAAACCTGGACAGCTAATGAAGGGGCCCAGTCCCAATTCTGAGAAGCCTATCAGGAAGACAGTATCCATGAATGCTGCTCTGACAGATGACAGAGCACCATATCTCTATGTGTTGGGTAATAAAAGACCTCTCATATTCTGAAGACCAAAATAACTTCCAGGCTCAGATCAAGCCAAAGCCCACCAAGACCAGGGAGCCTGCGAGATGGCTCTGTTGTGTCTGAGTTTTTAAACACTCTCTCGGGTTATATGCATGTTTCCTGTCTTGATGGTTATTTTAAGAGAGGTTCTGATTGTTCTGTTTTTATTGTACGCCGCCCAGAGTCACATACATGAGATGGGCGGCTATATATACTTGATAAAATAAAAATAAATAAGTCTTAGAAGCTCACACACAGGAGGCGGCCATCTGTGCATGCCAGACTTGTGAGCTGTCCCAGTTGTTGGGAACAAAGGAAAGGAAAGGGAGAAGGGGGAAAGGGGAAGGGGGCTAACTAAGTTAAATCTTTCCCACTGACATCTAGCTTTCTGGGTCGAAGAACATGCTTTGTTCAGTTACACCTATGATTTTCAATCTTGGCCACTATGTGATGGGTGGACTTCAACTCCCAGCATTCCCCAGCCAGCGTTCCCGAGCCAGCCAGGGGGACTCTGGGAGTTGGTCCACCCATCCCAAAGTGGCCAAGGTTGAAGAACACCGAGCTACACCAACTGGGGGACTATGGGAATTGTAGTCTGCGCTCCTCTGGAAGGCAGCGGATGAACCTTTCGTCCCCAGGATGGGTCCAATCCCGGCAACCACAGAGCCCACGGTGCTTGCCTGCGCACGCTCCCCGAGATCTCTTGACAGGCAGGGGCGCGGCTGCGCCTCAGCGACCGGCCCGGTCGCCCAGGCAACGGCCGCAGCAACAGTGGGGACGACCCGCAGGTCCGTGACCGACACCCGGCCCCCTCCTCCTCCTCCTCCTCCTCCTCCTCCACCAGAGCGCCTGGGCCGGCCCCGGAGCCCGAGAGCGAAAGGCAGGCCCAGTCGCAGGCGCCCCTCCGCCCGCTCTTTACCTCCCTCTCCTCCTCGGCGGCCTCGCCCGACCGATCACCAGCCGCCGGGGGAAACCCCGCCCCCCAGCCAACCCCCCCCCTCCGCTCTCCGCCGGGCGGGGGGCTGGGAAGGAG